AGAATATCCCCAAGGAGGATATCCGAATCAGCAAAATATTAACCAGAGTATCCACCATCAGTATGGAGGAGGAGGATATCAGAATCAGCAAAGCCCAAACCGAAGTGTCCACCACCACTATGGAGGTGGAGGAGGATGTCAGAATCAGCAAAATCCGAACCAAAGTGTACACAATCAATATGGAGGTGGAGATGGAAACCAGAGCCAGAAAAATCCAAACCAAAGTATCTGCCAGCAATATGTAAGTGGAGGAGGAAATCAAAGTCAGCAAAATCCAAACCAAAGTATCCACTATCAATATGGAGGTGGAGGAGGAAATCAGAGTCAGCATTATCCAAACCAAAGTACCCACCCTCATTATGGAGGTGGAGGAGGATATCCAACACAGCGAAATCCAAACCAAAATATCCACCATCAATACAGAGGTGAGAATGCGTGGAATAATCAAATCACGAATGACATGGCTCACCAGAAGCATGATGCTTCTGTTGTACCTCAGGAACAATGGAGGCCCCGTGAAGCTCAGAATGTCCAGCCGGCTCCTAGTGATAATACTACTTCTACTGCCAATTTGATGTCATTGTGCAAAGGGGAGGGTGGTGCTAAGGTGAAGGATGCGATTGAATTGATGGAAAAGGGGGCAGTTGCGGATACACAATGTTTTGGATTGCTTTTCGAGTCCTGTGGAAAGTCAAGGAAACTTGAGGATGCAAAGTCAGTGCATGACCACTTTTTGAGATCAAAATGCAGGGGTGATCTCGTCTTGAACAACAAGGTCATTGACATGTACTCGAAGTGTTGGAGCATGATGGATGCACGTAGGGTTTTCGATCACATGCCTGAGAGGAACATAGAAACATGGCATCTGATGATCAACGGTTACGCAATGAACGGGTTGGGCGATGATGGGCTATCGTTGTATGAACAAATGAGGACAAATGGGATCCAGCCCAATGACCAAACTTTCCTTGCTGTTTTTGAGGCCTGCGCCAGTGCTGATGCAATCGACGAGGCATTCATACATTTTGACACCATGAAGGCCGAATACGAAATCTCACCCACGATTGAACACTATTTAGGTCTGTTGGGCGTGTTTGCAAAATGCGGCCATCTTGCTGAGGCTGAGGAATTCATCAAGGAACTCCCATTTGAGCCCACTGCTGATGTTTGGGAAGCATTGATGAATTATGCTCGGATACACGGAGACATTGACCTTGAAGACCATGCTGAACAGTTGTGGAAGGCTGCTGGTGGTAGTCCCCTTGAGGGGGGTAAGATTGTCCCACCGCCTCCAAAGAAGCAGTCGGTCAATATGCTTGAGGGTAAAAGCAGGGTGGTTGAGTTTCGTAGTCCCACACTGTACAAGGATGAAGAGAAAATGAGGGCAGCAATGAAAGAGCAGGCATATGTGCCAGACACCAGGTATGTTTTGCATGATATTGATCAAGAGGCAAAGGAGCAGGCATTGCTTTATCACAGTGAGCGTTTGGCGATTGCCTATGGTCTCATAAGCACCCCTGCCAGGACACCTTTGCGTATCATCAAGAATTTGCGTGTCTGCGGGGATTGTCATAATGCCATCAAGATCATGTCAAGGATTGTTGGGAGAGAGTTGATTGTTAGGGACAACAAACGTTTCCATCACTTCAAGGATGGAAAATGCTCCTGTGGTGACTATTGGTAAGTTATTATTATCACAGCAAGCAAGAGAAATGGGGTGATTTGGCCTTTTAACTATTTCAAAGAAACATATTGAAGGCAGAGCTCTTCGCAAGGGTGACATTCTTTCTTGTGTTTAAAAGCTGCAGCATATATGATACCAATGACCATGTCAAGTGCTTGTTCAGAGGGGGGATATTTTTAACATCATGTTCGAGAACATGGGGGCGCATGTGTCTTATATATTGCACAGTATTCTCTGTTTTGTTTTTCTGCTGTCGACCTTTAGTTAGTAACGATTTTCATCTGGCGGTTATTAAAAAAAAGCTTAATCCCCCTTTTCATTGGAATGCTTTTGGTTCTGGGGTGAATTGCAATTTGCTATCTCCTCTCTTCGACCTTTGACTAAAGATATAAATGATTTCCGCCAATTTGCGCCACTCCTAGATACGGTAAATGATTTCCTAAGCACCTGGAACACCAAGACGATTTCATATGCAGGTAAACTTGAGCTAATACGATCGGTGATCCAAGGGGTCCAATCGTTTCGGCTCCAAGTGTTTCCGGTGCCTCAAACTATTCTTGATAGAATTGTTTCGATATGTCGTATTTTTTTATGGGGTGGCAAATTCGCAAAGGTGGCTTGGGACGATATTTGCTTCCCCAAAGAGGAAGGCGGCCTTGGCATTCACAATGCTAAGATATGAAATCACGCCCTCCTTGCGTGCACCCTCTGGGATGTACATCTAAAGAAAGACACGCTCTGGGTTCGTTGGGTGAACGGTGTATACCTCAAGGGTAGAACCGTGTGGGATTTTGTCCCACACACCCGAGACTCCCAGCTCATGAAGCGACTTAGTCTCATTCGAGATAAAATCCGGGGTTGTTTTAATAACTTGAATGATACGATTCTTGGTCTTAATTCCCGTTCCACAAATGGGAAATTAACCTCCGCAAAAATTTATGATTTACTTAGAGTTAAGGGTAATGTTAGGACTCCTATGAGTTTCATATGGAAATCCTACATTCCCCCCAAATTATCTTTTAACGTGTGGTTGGCTCTAAGAAACCGGCTTCCTATCCAGGATAGCCTCGGTTATCTGCACATTGTGAATAGGTGTGACCTGTGCAAGGGTGGTTTGGAGACAATACCACACCTTTTTTTCCTTTGCCCCTTTACTTGTAGGGTGTGGCAGCACATAAGGAACTGGATGAGACTTGGGCATGATATGACCACCTTGCTAAGTGCCGTGAAGTGGATTATGAAGACTCATAGAGGATCGACGTTGAAGGCAAAGGCAGCACGCCTCGCTTTCTGCGCCACGGTTTATTATCTGGCATGGGCGTAACGAGATATGATTTGAGGGGGGATCAAAGACGGAGGGAGATATAACTGCTAAGATCAAGCATGTGGTGTATAAAGTCCTATACAACTTATACCCGCATGAACTGATCAACTTTTGATGATGGATGCCGAAGCCGCGGCATAACCTCCTTGGACTTGTGTGTGTACCTTGCAACACATCAGACTTCTGGTTGAGGCTAAGGGGAGACTTCACTATAACCTCCTCTTGGCTGGGATGTTCGCATCTGTTTTTTGATGTATTGTTATGATCTGTGTGCGTGCATCATGGCGGCACCGTTTTCTTTTGTGATTTTTGGGCATTTAGTATTGTATACTTAGGTCCTTTTTGAGTTTTTTTGACCTTTGATTAGATCGAATAAAACCTCTTCTTACCCCTACACTATGTAGGGGTGGGGGGGGGGGGGTTAGGAGATCTAGAACTCATGATGTATAGTTTTCTTTGGGTGTTAATATAAATTTACATTTCATCAACAAAAAAAACTAAAGATATAAAAGAATATTGCTCTCCAGTCTCTTGACGTGTGGAGAATTGATTAGCAGCTATGGATGGACTCGGGTCGGGTGGCCCGACCCGGAACCGGCCTGGGACCGGCACTGTTCTGGCCCGGCCCGACCCGGTGGCCCGGTCAGTGACCGGTCCGGGTAGGCCCGACCCGTGGATTTTCCGGTCCGGGCTCGGGTCACCCAAAACAAGGCCCAACCCGGGCGGGCCCGGTTCGGACCAAAATTAAATTTTTTTTTTCAATTTTTTTTTTTTGATTTTCGGGTTGGGCTGGGTATTTTGGGCCATTTGGGATGGTTTGGGGGTTGGGGTGGGAGGGGGGTTAATTAGGAAGAGGGGAAAAATGATAATGGGCCCGGCCCGGACCCGGACCGGACCCGGTGGTTATCCGGACCAGTCCCGGGTCCACCACTCCTGAACCTCCGACCCGCCCGGACCTAGGCCTGACCCGGACCCGAGTCCACCCCTATTAGCAGCAAATGTTCTGCCTGCCGAGAAAATTATACTGCATGTGATTATGTGAAGTGGTGCATGTGGCAAATTCTGCTGCCGTTTTTCAACTCCATCCTTTTCAACTTTATGGTACTCCGCAGTCCGCACTATAAAACTCTTATCAACTGTGTTTTACTCTCCATATTTCTGTGGAGAACTTTTAACTTGGTGAGTGATAGATTACATTTACATTTTTTATTTGGTTAAAGAAAGATGGAAAGTTTTCCATTTAAGCTACAAATCCTAAGCCCCAAATATATAAATTTCCACATCCAAACGAGTGACATTTGGATTTTGATCCTCTCAGAGTCTTGGATTTTTATTCATCATTCATTTTCATGTATCCCAGTTAGGGATGGACTGGGCCGGGCCGAACCGGGCCGGAACTGGATCGGCCCGCTACTGTGCGGGCCCGGTTCCGGGCTTTTGGCCCGTGTGGGCGGGTCGGGCGGGCCGGGCTTGGGTCAATTTTTTTTTGTTTTTTCAATTTTTTTTCTTTTCCTAGGGTTGGGCTGGGTGTTTTGGGGAGGTTTGGGGGGTGGGGGTGAGGTGGGGGGGGGGGGGTCGGGGGATAACAAGAAAGCAAAAAAAAAAATAAGTATTGAACCGGGCCCAGCCTGGCCCGGGCCGGTTCTGGGTCCAAGGAATTGCAAAAAAAGCCCTCCCGGTCCCGGCCCGGAACTGGAACCGGCCCGGATCCATCCGTAATCCCAGTTATGGATGCAATCGGGCCGGGTGGCCCGACCCAGAACCCGACCCGGGACTGGCCCGGGACCGGCACTGTTCCGGCCCGGCCCGACCCGATGGCCCGGTCAGTGACTGGTCCGGGTAGGCCTGACCCGTGGGTTTTCCGGTCCGGGCTCGGGTCACCCAAAACAAGGCCCGACCCGGCCGGGCCCGATTCGGGCTAAAACTAATTTTTTTTTCAATTTTCGGGTTGGGCCCGGTATTTTGGGCCATTTGGGGTGGTTTGGGGGGTTGGGGGTGGGAGGGGGGTTAATTAGGAAGAGGGAAAAAAAATGGATAATGGACCCAGCCCGGCCCGGTGGTTACCCGGGCCGGTCCCGGGTCCACCACTCCTGAACCGCCGGCCCGCTCAGGCCTAGGCCCGACCCGGACCCGAGTCCACCCCTAATCCCAGTGCCGCAAAGGCCACCTACGGTGGGGTAAGAGGGGGTCGGATGTACGCAGTGTTACCCCTCACCCGTTAAGTGGTGAGATGTTAAATTGTTCCTTGAAATGTAAAACACTGAATTCACATTCATTCAACAATTGCTTCTGCAGCCGAGTTCTTATGAAATGCTCAATACTAATAAAGAATCAAGAAAATAAATAAAGCAGTCAGTGGGTTGTGTAGCTCCGGACTCCATGCCAAAAAGAACTTCAAGAGAGTGTCACATGCAATTCCTCTCCAACTATAGAAAATATTTCATCAATCCTGAAAGAAATAAGACAGTGCAGAGACAATTAGGTCTATTGCAAGGACCACATTTTAACGATATGGACATTGGAGAAATCCGAAATTCCCGGAAGCCATGGTTTGCACTAAAGACCAGTTGTGAGTTCCTATATTGAACCAACTCTTGAAGCATGAAATGCTATATGCTAATCACATCATACGGAAAGTTGGCACCAAATGTTTGCTAAAAACTACTACCTCTGTCCCAATTTGTTATCCTTGTTTCACATTATGAGGTTTGAAACATTAAGATTAATTTCCCCTAAAAATACTTCAATACGAACTTTTACAAAACTACCCTAAGAGTTCTACTGAACCGCAGAATAAATTCAAACACAGTAAAACTTTGACACACAAAATCAGAAAATAACCACAAAAGTTGACCGCACTAAACGACAAAAATAAAAGAAAGCGGAAGTGCTTTATTTACCTAAACGTGTCAAGTTTCACTTCTTCAAGCCATGTTGTTAAGTATACCTGCAGTAAAAAAAAAAAAAAAAATAGTATTATGTAGTAATAGCTTCTCCAGAGTATCAGAAGTGAATACATAGCATCAACCAGCACGTAGCAAGAACCCCACCTTCAGGTATCCATACAGACCCCTTGTTTACTTTATAGCACAAGGAGATAAGCCGCAATGAGAGCTTATGTAGAGCTTGATATGCCACAATGGGAACATGGTGTAACATGTCGTAATGAAATGCACATGTCATGTATATTTAGACAAAAAAACTACATTACATCTTATTATGATTCATAAATTATAGCTTTAGCTTTAAGCGAAATCATTTTAGTTTTGTTTAGCCGAGAAAGTCGGATTGGATTCAAAGCACTCTGTATTTAGAAGCAAAGAAAGAGCAAATAAACAAATGTTGTAGTCCTATAGCACAGTCACAAACTTATATACTCCACAGTTGTTATCTCCACCTTGTCAAATGATAACTACATATTGTTTCCCTATGAAAGAAATATTGGCTTTTTTATTCGTACCTAATCCATAGAAAAGGTAATTACATTATGGTTTTAAACAAGATATGAATATAGGAGTAAATCCACCAGTACCTGGAGAACATTCCTCTCAGTTTGATCAAGAGGTGAATTTGTAGGTATACTTGATTTGCAATTTGTTTGACCCGGGAAAATTGGTTCATTAGAATACAAATCGCATATAATGAGATCACCAAACTCCCCTAGATACAACTCTTCAGACCAATGAATGTTGTCTTCTTTGTCATCAACGGAGCAAAATTCCATCACCAGTAACCGCTGCATGCCATATTAAACTTTAATGCAAACCAATTGAGAAAAAAAGGCAAGCCAAAGTGTCAAGTAATTGAAGGCTAGATTTGATAGGTACCTTTAAATTCATTTCAGATTTTAACATTTGAACCAACTCTTCTGCCAGTTGCTCTGAAAATTATTAAAAATGTCAGTAAGACTTACTGTATATTCAAAGAGATAGTTCTTGATTGTACAAACTTTGTACAATCAAGAACTATCTCTTTGAATATACAGTAAGACTTTTACTTGTGGGGTATTTATGTACACACACAATTGATGTGTAAGATAGGCATTTATTGTAATACAAAAAGTTGTCCTCACTATCTTCCATTCAATTGCAAAAGTCAATTTTCTTATTCTAAAAACAACATTAATCATTAAAAAACTGATTGTATATATTATATAGACTTCTAATTTTATACTTTTCAATAAGAATAGATCCAGATCAAGCAAAAGAGATGTATACCAAAAGAAGATATTGACAAAAAGGAGAATACGGGAACTCCACCACCATCACCACGACTGTCAATCTGATGATGATCATCATCAGCAGGGTTGCAAGAAAATTGTACAATTGGGCCGTTGCCCATCCCTTTGATATAACACCTCATAGATCTAGAAGCCTTTACCATCTGAGTTACGATGCCGACCTACATAAATAAAATAACTTACAATTCAACTACTCAAGAACATAATTGTTCTTGCAATTAACCATAATAAGTAATAGCCCAAATTTGCAGAAAAGGATGTCAAATTTAATAAAGCTACTTTAATACAGGTAATATGTGAAACACCCCCTTTGATCTGTATGGCCTCCTCCAGATATTTAATCATTCTTAACTCGTGAAAAATTGAATGTGTTTGTAATCTAAAATTGCTTGTAGAGTTCAAGAATAAAATAAACATTAAGATTAGTAGATTTCTAAAAGTTTACTTCTTTTCAGTTTCTTCTTCAGAATAAATGGTTTTCACCTCCAAACGACTAGTGTTTAGGATCTCAAGGACTCCAAAGCTACTGATAAAGAAATAGTTTATATTCACTAGATTCTGGCAAATCGGCATACTTTGCATCAAACAGCATACAAAGGGCAGCCCAGTGCACATGGGCGTCCTTGCGAGGGTTCATCAAATAGTATAAGAAAAAAAACAATAGCCACAGCTCTAACTGTAAAAAAAGCCAAATCAACCTTGGTAGGCTATCAGATTTATCGAAAAACCAGCCATAAAGTTTACCATGTTCTGCATACATACCATACTTTTGTATGTCAACAAAAGCTGACCCCTATTGATCACCTAAAGAGTAGAAATAGAAATAAATATTTGAGTAAAATAAAAATGCAAAATAAAACAATTTAGTTGAAACAGATTTATAGATTCTACTTATTTGTGCCCAATTCATAATCACCTGCTGCTTGTGTAACTTGTGGCATGCTTTCTTTTGTAATTCTGGCATGTCACTCAAAACTCCAAATTCCATTGCATCCATGTACCTATGCAGAAATGGCGCTTTACATTTACAATCAATTTCAGTGTTCAGACTCAATATGGACACACATGCTAGCTTGTTCTTCTTGAGGGTCAAAGTATCAGTACTAATACCAACAAACTCATTTAGTTTATATTCTCATAGACAAAAAATTCAAGTCTAATTAAAGACTAAAACAAATATGTGGAACTGCATTTGATGTGCAGTGAATAGAATAGGTGGGATTTCTATTTCCCCCTATTGTGTTTTTTACCTCTGCGAGAGATAAGAGTTTACTAGAGAAGTGGCGTGGGAGTGAGCAGTAAAGGAGGAAGAGAGCCAGTCGTTCCATAGAGAAAACAATTTCAACCACTGGTTTTTGAGATTCCTTTGAGCGGCCGGTCTCCACTGACGCAATATTTGGGAGGACGGTGGCGTCACCGGTGGCGTCACCGGTGGCGGCGCTGGAGATTTTGCGGCTGGGCTTTGGAGGTTGATGTCCATGGGCTCATTCTTGTATTCCATTCTCAGTCCCTTAAATTATGCAAAAGCTAAATTTCTGGCATAATCACCCAATTACACCCCAAACAAACTCTTGCCATTCTAAGCTTTAAGAAACGCTCAGATTAACATCAAGAGGTTTCTGGTTACCATGCTTGTCTGGAACCATCTCTTCCATCCGTTCCTGTTACCCTTCTGTGTTTTGATTGAAAAATACATGAAATCCCTTTGTATAAAAAAACAAATATTTTTTCTATGAAATCCCTTTAAACCCGGAGTACTTTTAAAGGAAAATGTAACAAATCTTTAAATACATGCAAAAAAAAGGAAAATGTAGCAAACATTAAAATATGGAGGGGGTATTTTTTCACGTTACATTGCCCTGTTTGGTGACCCTTGTTTTCGACTTATCAGCTTTATCAGTCAATTGTTTTACTAAACATATAACGTTTGAATTCGCGCGCTGAATTGTGTAATAATCAAAATTAGTAATTTTAAAGTTACTTCTCTCGTACAACTAGATGAAGTTAATATAGAGGACAATTTTAACTAGTTTTCATATAATCTTTTCTTTATCTTATTAATAGAGTATAATGTTAATATATTTTTCATAATTCGGCAGATTCAGCCAATTCAGTTGTTTTAGACGGAACTTAGGATGTTTTTACTTGGATTGTTTTCAATCCCAAACCAGGCCAGACTAGTCTTAAACAAACTAGATCAGACTTAAACAGACCAGGCCAGACTTCCGTAATTATAAAATACACAGAGACCTGACATTTACCAGACCAATTCAGACCAGACGTAAACAGACTAGATCAAACCAGCAAATTACAATCCAAATAAAAACATCATTAACCATTTTTAACAGGATCAGTCAATTCAACCAATTTCAGTGTTACCAAACAAGTTTTAATTAAAAATTAATCGTTTTACCTTTATATAATTTATATTAGAAATTAAGATTAAACACATTTTTATATTCACCCCTTGGAGCATCTCCAATGCTTGGAGTCCATTGTTGTTGATGTGGCAAAAATATGAGTTTGGTCTATTGAGTGTGCGAGCCAAAATTCAAAAAGTGAGAAGGTCCATTCATATAAAAGGAGTTGGAAAGAAAATTAAAAAGAGAAAAGAAATATAAAGTAATAGGAAAATGCTACTTTCAAGTAGTTAGGAATGTTTAAAGGCCTACAAACACAATTTTAGCTTTTGTGAAGGATTGGACCGAGGGTCCCAATTGAGACCTTGTGCTAGACATTATCTATTTTCTCTCTCCCAACTCAACAAGAGTATACTCATTTAATTTTGCATTGGAGAGGAGTTTTATCTATGAAGGTCCATTGGATGATGTGAAAGTGCAATAGACCCTTGCATTGAAGATGCCCTTAGACGCACTCTTATGGAAAAACATTCAAGCTAGTACGTATCTTCAATTTATTCTTTCTAAAACTTTATTCAATAACTAAAACATAATGTTTTGCAAAGAAAAAAATAACTTGGAATAATATGTCATAAATCGGCCATGGACCAGTGAATGAAGATGAGATAAAAAGATTGGATTATTCATGAATAATGAAAAAGTTGGACTATTATAAGAAGACCGCTAAAAGGTTGGATTATTAATTTCCATTTTCATTATTTTATATAGTAAAAACGAACAAGTAATGGGAAATGAGGTCGTGCATGCAAACAACTCTGCAGTCTGCACTACTAATTTAGAATAAACAATGTTATTAATTAATTTAGAAAACTTGTTGAAAAAATGATCAAATATTACTCTTAAGCTTTTAATTAATTGACAAAGGTATGACTAATTTTTGATAGGACAGAAAAGTGACCACAAACCCTTCACCCTAGGCGCATCAATTCCTTCACACAACATCACCTTCGTACAACAAATCCTTCGCACAGCATCACCTACATCTCCAACCTCCGCATGGACACAAATTAGGAACTATCATCTAAACTTATGCAAAGAGTAACCATGGTGTATAACTAAGCTAAACCGCTGCGGCACATTGGTGCTTTGACGTATACTTGAAGTACGCGAAGGACTAATGCTAATTTTTGCAGAAGTCTCCAAGTTCAATTAATTCAATATAGTTTCCCTTGTGGTGTTGGCATGAGAACGCCATTTCTTTCGAAAGATCTCAAGTCTCATCTTATTGTGGAGAACACTTACGCTTTTTGACCGGGGATCTCATTCTCTTTTTCGCAAGGTAAGAGGTCTAGCTATGTTATATTTTTTCAGATTTTCACTAGACATTACCACATTCTAATCTTGACCTCTCCAAGGAAAATTAGCAATTAAAGTTCATTTGATCAAGGTGAATTCATGCCTACAATGCAATCCTCGAAAAATATCAAATTCCTAAAAAGTGACTGCTCTTACCCCATTTGGGGCATAGGAGCAGTGTCAACACCAAGATTTCGTCAGAAATTATTCACGGGTAAGGAAACAAATGTCATATGGCTATGTAGCTCAAATTATTGGGTAAAGAATAAAATGGTCAGGCTCAAAATGGTTCCTCATTCTAAGGTCATATGGCTATGTGGCTCCTACAAAATTTCCCTAGACTTAGCAAATTAATCCCCTAGTTCCCTAAACACCAAGATTTTGTCAGAAATTATTCACGGGTAAGGAAACAAAGGTCATATGGCTATGTAGCTCAAATTATTGGGTAAAGAATAAAATGGTCAGGCTCAAAATGGTTCCTCCTAAAGAACTTATTCAGGTGGGATGGATGATTTAATTAATTCAATGAGTGACTAATGCCTTCATCCTCTCAACAACTAGGTCATCGTGCAGCAATTTAAGCCTAAACACATTAAGGATGTTCTAAAAGCATAGTCAACTTACTAGCCAGTTCACAAAGACACAGTTTAAAGAAAAAATTTCAAAAAAATTGACATGACTTCCCTATGAATATACCACTAACACCTGCGCATGCTAACTCCAGAAATCCCATGTGACAACTACTGCCCGAATGCCCAATTCACTCCCCCACACTTAAACTTTGCATCGCCCTCGATGACAAAAAATGCACAAGGGGGTAAAGAAGAAAGGGTCACGCGTGCTCACATTAACTCAAGTCAACAATTAACACAGGCAAAGAAAATGATCATGAAAACTTCCCTAAGGGCGTTGATCGGTGCAGAACTAAACTGAGTCAAGTAATCCTCAGCAAATCATCCCAAAACCAAGACCCTGGGCTGCAAAAACAAAACACACAAACACAAAAATAAAAACAGAAAACACCCTGTATTTTTTTTCTTTTTTTTCGGGGGTTTTCTTGAAAGCAAACAAAAAAAAAATGCAGAATTAAACTTGGGTTGCCTCCCAAGAAGCGTTATTTTTAACGTCGTTTACCCGACGCAACTACCTCATATGCTCTCAAATAGCAAAGATTGCAATGGTGCACTAATAATCAACGTCTCCAGCTTCTTCTCAACAAATGTCATTAGGTGTCGCAGATCTTTAAATTCTTCAGTCCACGTAGGTAGCATATGGTCTTCATAACCCTCATCAGCACAGAAGTGAAGGATGAAACTCACATCCTCTTTGGGTGGACAGAGAACACGAGTCAAAACTTTGATTACTCTAGGTATCACCGGAAGCTCAAAAGATGTTTCAAAACAAGGAGTAGGAGCAACATCGTAATCGAACTGTACCATAGAAAAGTCTTTTTCTTCTCCACAAATATCATGAACATTCACAACCTCTCCTCCGGACTCTATATCACTCCCCATGTGAGCACCCCAACTCTCGGTAACACCGTTCTCATGAATGTCTTCTTGGATGATGTTGTCACTCTCCACACAAAAAGGAATATCATTCTCAAGGAGTGAATCAAAGAAATCCTAATCTACCACATAATAGTGGATCAATGCATGTGTACAAGAGGGGTAATCTTGCTTGTGGAGTGAGACTTCTTCATTATGAACACCATCTACCTCGCCCCCACTCTCTTGGAACGTGTGATCATCATTTCCCAACTCATCTTCAATACCCAAACCTACCTCAGTAGCACCATCATCATGACTGATCTGCTCCATGCCCTCATCAGGTGTTGAGACTAATGGTAAATCAAACGGCTCAGGAGTTTATGTATGAAGATCACATTGATCTGTGACTTCATCAGTTACAACTTGTACCGTTTGAAACTTTTTCCTGTATTCTTGGAAAAATAACTCGACACTACTATCTTCTTGTTCATAATCAAACATAGGTGGGTCTTCAAAAGCATCAGGAAGTGTATCATCCATCATACTCCCACCTTCACAGTCTGACTCAATGCCATGATTATCATCCCTATTGGTCTCCTCGGGTTGGGCTCCTGCCAGATGATTCATCAAGCTATTTATATCCCGCGTTATGGCAAAGTGCTCTGCATGATACTCTCTTCGAACTCAGCCAGACTCTCTGAGGGTGTCTTCTTAAATTGATTATGTGGCTCATTATGCGGCAAGGATGTAGAAATGATTGAAACATTTGTGTTCCTAACTTGTGGGGAGGATGAAGTGGGGTATGCAGACATGCAATTTCCCATTAAGGATGGTCATAAGGAGGTTTAACGGGGCATAAAGATATATGGTTACATCCTCCACAGAAGGAACAAATGTTATTGTTAGGTAGAATATGATGAGAAAACTGAGATTGGAGGGATTGTGTGATTGTAGAAGAGTTTTGTGGATAAAAAGACTGAAAGTTTTTTGGTGTAGAAGAGTAATATTAGTGAGGAGCGTAATATTGATGATGAAGGTAAGGGGGGTGTCAGTATATGGAGAATATTCCGTGGAGGTTTGGGGGTAAGGTGTTCCTCCAGGAATTGAGATGAATGGGTTCATCACATGCCTCTTAAAGAAATACCTGAAAGGTTAGCACAGAAAGATCCTACGAAAAACTAAAAAAAAACTAACTAAAAAAATCTGGCTGAAATTAATTAACCCTTAAAACTGACATCGTCCTCGACAACGACGCCAAAAACTGATGTGAGTTTTCTCGCACTTAAATTGATGGTAGAATAGTGGTAAAAGTACGAGTATCGTCTTCACAGGGACGAACAAAAGGGAATCAAGAATTAATTAAATTCAACAGATAAAAATAAATAAAATAAATGTGTCGTGCAAGATTGGTTGGTTGAATTGAAATTAAACTAATGGGAATGAACGATTAAAATAAAAGATTGGTT